AAAAAAAAAAAAAAAAGAATATGTCATCACAGATTTGAAAATAATTAAAGTTCTACTTGTAAACTTAAAAGAAAATTCTGAAAAAAATTTATTACTACTGTATCCCTTTGAGTTTGTTGATGGTAATTTGCTAACACTTACAGGAGAGTTTTTAGAGTGCTTTTGCATGTGATCTGAACCTCCCAAACCCTTTGGGAGGGAGGAAAGGAACAAAGTCTTCATTTTACAAATGTTAGAGCTGAGGCTCAGAAAGATCTGACATCTTGCTGTGAGTCACATAAAAAAGGAAGGGGAGGCTCGGTGCCTGTGGTTCAAGCAGCTAAGGCACCAGCCACATACATCTGAGCTGGTGGGTTCGAATCCAACCCGAGCCCGCCAAACAACGATGGCTATAACCAAAAAATAGACAGGCATTGTGGTGGGTGCCTGTAGTCCCACCTACTTGGGAGGCAGAGGCAGGAGAATCGCTTGAGCCCAGGAGCTGGAGGTTGCTGTGAGCTGTGATGCTACAGCACTCTACCCAGGGCAACAGCTTGAGGCTCTGTCTCAAAAAAAAAAAAAAGAAAAGAAAAGGAAGGGGAGATGAAAAATAAAAAGTTGTGACTCCTATGTATATGTTTTTCTTTTAGTAAGTTGATGTGAAAATGTATAGTTTTGCATGTTTTTAAAAATCTATAAATCTTAAAAGCAGTTGTTGCTGGATGCAGTGGCAGGACCCTATGATCCCATTCAGGGAGGGCAAGGTCCATTTGAGCCCAGGAGTTAAAGGCTACAGTGAGCTATGATTGCACTGGTGAATAGCCACTGCACTCCAGCGTGGCCAACACAGACAGACCCCATTTCTAAAGAAGGAAAAAAGGCAATTTTCTAGGTAGATCTGCTTGTATTTTGCGGGGAAAATTTTCACACATCAAGTGTTTTTTTGGTTTTTTTTGCAGTTTTGTTTTGTTTTGTTTTTGGCTGGGGCTGGATTTGAACCCACCACTTCCGGTACATGGGGCCCTTGCCCTACTCCTTTGAGCAACAGGCACCGCCCATATCAAGTGTTTTGAGAGAGAGAGAGTATGTGTGTGTGAGAGAGAGAGAGATGGTGTTTCAAAAATGTAGAAATAATCATTTGGTAGGGTTACTGGAATGTGGATTTTTCATCTGACTATTTCCTGGAATAGTTCCATAAGTAGGACAAAATTATATCTCAGGTGCCTTTTCAGTACCCATAGTATAATTATTAAGTAGAATTTTATGTTTACTCTCCATCAGAAAGGAAACAGCCTGTTCCTCTTTTGTGGAAGGCTTCAGTTCAGCAGATATCTAGACACTAAAGGATAACAGAAGAAAATGCAGAGATTCCTTTTTTTAATCCCTCTGTCCCACCTCTCAAGTTTTTATGAGGTCATGTCCTCTAATAAGCTGTGTGAAGCTTATCTTCAAAAATCTAGGTTTTTTTCCCCCACCTCTAGGCTTTTGTAGATATTTTAATCTGGTTATTGTTTGAAATCCACTTCTATAATGTGGTTCCATTAATATTTAGTGTATGTCGGATGGCGCCTGTGGCTTAGTGGATAGGGTGCCGGCCCCATATACCAAGGGTGGCAGGTTCAAACTTAGCCCCAGCCAAACTGCAACAAAAAATAGCCAGGCATTGTGGTGGGTGCCTATAGTCCCAGCTACTCAAGAGACTGAGGCAAGAGAATCACTTAAGCCCAGGAGTTGGAAGTTGCTGTGAGCTGGGACGCTACGGCACTCTACTGAAGGCGAGAAAAGGAGACTCTTGTCTCTACAAAAAAAAAAAAAAAATTGAGTGTATGTCAAGACTTCTATAATGGTAGCACGTTTAGTCTCTTTATGCATGTAAGGTTAAAAAAGGACCCCAGTAAGATAGAATTCTGTACAGCTGTCAGCTCTGTATTCTCTGTTTTCAGTATCTCAGGATGAAAAGAAACAGTGAATGATTTATTTGAAGTCATTGCTCTCTAAAGGGGAAAAACATTGAGGTCATTAGAGTCGTAATGCCATGTTAATAATATGATCTTTTGGTGTGCAAAGGGGTTTTTAATAGAATTATATTACAAGGTCATTTGTTTCTCTAGAATGTGTATGAACTCAGAGCTATGTTATATATTCAACCCTACCTTTATTAGTAGGAGTAATGGTAGCATTAGTAATAGAGACAGTAAGTGGTAGTTATGCTGAGTTATCTCAACTGATTGTTTAGTCAGTTATAGATTGAACTCTTTCTTCTACTCTTCCCCATTTCTCACTATTGCACTTGACTAATTTTTTTTTTTTTTTTTTT